CCTGTGAGCCATGGCCGCTGAGCCTGCGCGTCCGGAGCCTGTGCTCCGCAATGGGAGAGGCCACAACAGTGAGAGGCCCGCGTACCGCAAAAAAAAAAAAAAAAGAATCCTCCTCTGTGATGGATGTTAACTAAATTTATTGTGGTTATTGCTTTGCAATTTATACATACATCGTTATGTTGTACACCTTAAACTTATACAATATGTCAATTATATCTCAATAAAACTGGGTAAAAAAAGGAAAAAGAATCATCCTCTGGGGTGGTCTCCTCTTACTACACAACCACATGGGACCCTGGACACAATTGGTGACTTTTTTTCTTTTGGCCTCACCCTGTGGCTTGTGGGATCTCACTTCCCCGCCCGATCAGGGATTGAACCCAGGCCGCGGAAGTGAAAGCCCGGAATCCTAACCACTAGACCACCAGGGGACTCCCTACAGTTGATGACTTTTATCCAGGAAGATGGGGCACGTGGCTATGGGGTTTGCAAGCAGCAGGTGGGCTGCAGCCTCACATCATCCAGCCCCACTTCTCTACCTGCTCCTGTCTCTTCTCTCCTCTTCCAATTGCAGCAGAAGAGGTGCTGTTTCTTCCATGGAGGTTCATGCTGCTTACAGCCTGGGTCACGGTCCACCACCTTCTTAGGGTCCTCCACCATCAGCCTCCCTCTGGGGCTATGTGCAGCCTCTCCCTCTCTACCAGTACTTGGCCTGAGCATGACAACAAGTACCCACCTCATGCATCTTAAAAACAGCAACAACAGCAACAAGAACAACAAACTCCCTCTTGACCCCGTCCCCTTTCTAGCTCTCCTTCCTTCACAGCCAAAGCTTGAGAAAGAAGACATGTGCTCTCCACCCACCTTCTCCCCTCCGTTCACTCTCAGTGCTCCCTCCTCCAGACCACGATCAGCTTTCCCTTTTGCTGCCAGTGCAACCAAAGTCTCAGTGTTCTCCTCTATAAAATGGGCGTAATCCCTAGCTCAAAGAGTAGTTGTGAGGATTAAGTGAAATAATGTAGTCAGTGTACTTAGCTTGGCGCCTGGTACATGACAATCACTACATGCCGTTTAATTGCAGGCCTTTCATCCTGCTTCAAATGCTTCCATGTCCTCCTAGATTCTTTAGGGTCCGGTCCTATAAGACCCTTTCTGGCATCAGCTTGCATGCCCATTTGGAGGCCATTCACCCACAGATGAAACCATTGGCAGTTCCAGAAGCATTCTCTTGGCTCTGGGCTTTGTACACACTGAATTGTTTTGCCCAGAAAGCATCCTTTCACCGTCTAACTCCCCGCCCCCATCCCGATCACCTGGCTATGCTGTCCTTCAGGTGCTTCAACATCAATAACGCAAATAACCTGGAAGCCATAGAGATCCTCTCCAGGATACTGCCATGAGGGGGTAGATACAGGAGATGATACAATGCCAACAAAAATTATTTTGAGTGTTCTTGGAAATAAAAATATGAGTTTCAGAGGCTTAGGGAAGAAGGAGGCTAGCCAGGGTCCATGCACTCACTCATCGGTGTACTTAGCAAATGTTGATTTAATCCCTGTATGCACCAGATACTATACTAGATACTGTGATGGCTGAAAGACGAATAAGAGAATTCTTACCATCACGGCAGTCACAGTGCTGTGGGTTAAAGTGGTGAGTGGTGGTGAACCCAACCCATGCTCTCCCACAAAGGGGGTTGGTAAAGAGACCTTTGCTGCCAGGGGCATTGAAACAGATAGGACAAGGACTGAGACATGGTCATCTCTTCCCATCCAGGACCCCTTCCCCCATTCTTCAGGGCATGGGCTCAGGTTTATCTGTATAGATGCTCACCTGAGAGGATTTCAGGGACTCCAGAACACCTGCCTCTTAATCAGAAACTCTTCTAACAAGGAGGAGAAACCTTTCATTCACAGCTAGAGATAAAAGGCTTAACATGCAAATAGCTGACAGGCGCCTCATATGCATAGGCATAACTTTCCACTAAAGTATCATCAATGAACTCAACAAGTTTACCTGGTTGATATCAGACCTGGGCTTGATGGGAAAAGGTGGGGAGAACAGGGAGCTATCCAAGGGGTGGGAAGAATTCCTTGGAGCACTTTATGAGGTTGAGGAAAGATCACAGCTTGCCTGCAATCCACTATGTCCGCCTACAGCCAAGCAGGGAGAGAGGAGGTTGTGGACAAGCTGCAGAGCCAGGCCGCTCCTCTTCTCAGGACTGGTCAGAATGTTTCGGCTGTTGCTAATTTTTATTTATTTATTTTTATTGGTTGCTACTGATTTTTAACATGAAACCTTAGTGTTCTTTGGCCATTTAGAATCCATACCTGTTCTCCCCACAGGTGACCATCTACTTGGGGAAGAGAGACTATATAGACCATGTTGACCAAGTAGAGCCTGTGGGTAAGTTGAGTTTGGGGTGAGTTTTTTCTTTCTTTCTTTCTTTCTTTATTTATTTATTGGTCGTGCCGCGTGGCATGCGGGATCTTAGTTCCCCGGCCGGGGATCGAACCCATGGCCCCTGCAATGGATGTGCAGAGTCTTAACTACTGGACCGCCGTGGAAGTCTCCTGGGGTGAGATTTTAATGCTGGTTTTCCTTTAAGTCATCAGACAAACACTAGTTTTGTGTTTTTTAAATTGACTTCATTAATAATCTAATCAAAGAAATGCAAATTAAAACATCATCAAGGTGCCACTGGCTGATTGGAGACAAATTTAAATGAGACAAAGGACTCATTTCTAGATAAAGAACATTCAAAACTCACCAGTTAAAAAAAAATCCAATTAGAAAATAGACAAACAACATGAAAAGGCATTTCATTAAAGAAAATATATAGGTGACAAATGAGCACATAGAAGAATGTTCAACAACAACAAAAAGAAAAATGTTCAGGACTTCCCTGGTGGCGCAGTGGTTAAGAATCCGCCTGCCAATGCAGGGGACACGGGTTCAAGCCCTGGTCCGGGAAGATCCCACATGCCACAGAGCAACTAAGCCCGTGCACCACAACTACTGAGCCTGCGCTCTAGGGCCCACGAACCACAACTACTGAAGCCTGCACACCTAGAGCCCATGCTCCATAGCAAGAGAAGCCACAGCAATGAGAAGCCCGTGCACTACAATGAAGAGTAGCCCCTGCTCACCGCAACTAGAGAAAGCCCGCGTGCAGCAACGAAGACCCAGCGCAGCCAAAGAAAAAAAAAAAGACCTGATTTCATTTCTAAAACAAAGAAAAGAAAAATGTTCAACAACATTAGTCGTTAGGGAAATGCAAATTAAAACCACAATGAAATATTATATGCTTGTCAGAATGGCTAAAATTAAAAATAGTGACCATACCAAACGCTGGCAAGGATGTAGAGATACTGCATCGCTCGTGCCTTGCTGGCGGGAATGGGAATGTAAAGTGGAGCAGCCACTCTGGAAAACAGTTTGGCAGCTTCTTTAAAAGCTAAACATCCACTTCTCATGTGACCCAGCAGTTGCATTCCTGGACATTTATCCCAGAGAAGTGAAAACTTACGTCCACACAAAACTTGTACATGACTGTTCACAGCAGCTTTGTTTGTAGTAGCTCCAAACTGGAAAGAACCTAAACGTCTCCAGCAGGTGAATAAGATTAAACAAGCTGGGGCACATCCATGCCTTGGGACACTACTCAGCACTGACAAAGATTGAGCTACCAATCCATGCAACAGCCTGTGGGTCTCAAGATTGAGCTACCAATCCATGCAACAGCCTGTGGGTCTCAAGA